AAAGCGAGGCTCACATTCGTTTATTCGTTCGTTTCTCGACTCTGCCAGAGACGTGATGAGCGCTTAGCAACAGGCTTAACAGGGGTTGTCAATCCTACATCTACAGATCTGCTCGCGATCGCCGCTTATATGCTACAGTTATACATACCGTTAACCGCAAATATATTTCGCAGATTCGACCAACGAACTCGTGACTGATATTGTGACTTTCATGGCACGCTTTTTTTTTTTTATAGAAACCAAACGTATAATTTACAAACAAGTATTAAGTAAGTACCTGTATAATAGAAGGAAATTACATAAAACTGTAATAAAAAAGAAAAGAAATATAGAGGAAATTATTTTACTTTTTTTTCATTTTTACATACGATGTGTGTTTTATTTTCTAAGTTTAGAAAACTTGATATTCAACAGAAAAATATACAATAGATAAAAAGTATTTGTACACCTAGTTTTTGTATGATATCTTTATATGATAAACAAATGATACATTAACAAAAACAGTATTCATTAATAGTCAATTATATGCTGAGTAACATTTTTTAATAATGCGTTTACAAACAATTAATAAAGGAAATACATAAATACACTTGCGCGCGCGTTTTACATAGAAAATGCTTAATTGTCTTAAAGTTTTTAATCTTGCACTCTGTATTAAATTATCTCTCGACACATCGATATGCATTCGAGCATTCGTAATTTTCTTCGATAAATGCTAAATTTCCAACTTCATTATAAAACATACAACCGCAAACTATTATGTGCATTATTATTAAATGAAGGCGTACAAATACTTTTTGGACCCACTGTATGATTCTCATTGTTTTCTCCGTATCTATGATTATTTCGTTTTTGAATTTTGTCCGAAGCTTGTGTGTGTGTGACCACAGATTTATGAATAAACAAACTAAAACTTTATAAATAGATAAACTAAAACTCTTTAAACGTGTCAAATGTCAGGTTAAAAGACATATCGTTTTAAAAAAAACAGAAAAATACCATTGGATTAAACTCCGTATAAATAAACGTGTTGCGTTGCGGCTTCGTTTCATTTCTGCAAAATATTAGTTCGAACATATCACACGTCGCTTTTGGTAGTGGACGAGGGACAGAGGAAGGAAGAGACGTGGCGATAAACCCTCACGGTGTACTACCGGAAATAACATATCCAACCTCGATAAACCCCTTGCTAGGGTGTCTCGCACGGCAATACCGACCGGTCGGTGTTTTCCGAGCAAATATAATAGGAAACCGACGTGAAAGTTTTCTGCACATGCGTTTCACATACGCTCCGCGAAGGATTTCTTTTATCTCTTCGATTGTGCAACCAGCTTGTCCACGTGGCCGATAGCGATAGGGTTGGCGGGATCGATAGCGTGCGAGTCGAATCGATAACAGTCGCGGGCCTCCAGGTGCAACCTCTCCCACTTCTTCCCCTACTTCGGCACCTTTATCTTCGACTGTGACTGACCCTCTGTGTTACTATGCAAGTCTCGAAGGAATTCGCGACGCTCCCAGACTGCACTTGCGAAAGCTTAGAAAAGAAAACTAACATTTATCTTTTCCACGTTTTTTTTTTTTTTTTATACTTTTATTGCAATTTCTATTTTTTTTAACGTTGAACAGTTATTTTGTAGCATTTATTTTTATTAACTAGATTCTCTTCTTTTATCTTCTCTGTAATGTAGTTTTACTACATTGTGATAATTTGTTTAATTTTGTCATGCAAAATAATTATTCGCTGAATTGATGATAAATATGTTGATATTTAATTTTTATTGATTGCGGCTTATTACTAATTTTTACGCAATTTGCAAAAAGCCAGATTACAAAGATAATTAACTCAAGAAAATTTATCTTGCTTGCGAAAGTTGATTCCTCACATACTCTCTCGGTGCTCTCGACACAATGTAGTGCAGCAGCCGACCCAGCTGGGTAAAACGATATGCTACCGCCAGACAAGAGAAGAGATGCTTTTATCGGTCGTAAAACAACGTTAGGTATTCACGATAACGAGGGAGTCGCAAAATGCCGCAGGAACGAGAAGCGGAGGACAGAGAATGCGAAGGGAAATCCAATCGCTGATGGTGCGCACACGCGATAAGCTCGCAAGAACACGTACATACATACGTGCAATGCCATTTATTTGTAATTACGTAATATTTTCACAGTGTCAATGAAAATTTAAAACGTCATAAAAACGAAATAAAGTGGACATCCGAATAAGAATGATTACGCACGAAACGCGATTTCGCGAAGTGGTGTGAGGTTTTGTTAGGAGAAAAGCAATTTCAAAGATGATTTTATGGAACGAATCTCGACGCGAGATCTGCCGGGGAGCGATGTGTGTCGCATTGATCCTTGTTTAACAGAATCCCGAGCTCAAGATACCAAGTATATAATGTCGAGATTTAATCGCGTGAAAAGATATAACGTAACTGTGGAAGCAGCGACGACTTTTATGTCTCTCCGAGGTGATGTCAACTTTCCATAAGCGACGTAGCAAAATTTCTTTACGAGAGAAAACGACTGATGGCGAAGGTAAAGGGAAGGGAGAGTGTCGTGCAACCTGGACGCGTCATTTCCGGCGGCTAGCACTTCGCGAGGCGAGGTGGAAGTTGATCGAACGACGAGGGGGTTGACGAGAGGGGGAGAGGAAAGTAAGGGACGAAGAACGTTATCCGCCGCACAGAGTCGTAAACTTCGAAGGAGCTTGTAATAACGATAAAACACGACGAGGAAGCCTGGCCGAGCGGAAAAGCTCTCTCTTTCTCTCTCTCTCTCTCTCTCTCTCTCTCTCTCTTTCTCTCTCTCTCTCCGCTTTCTCCTGCATGCGTTCAAACCAACGAAGTTGGGCCGGAAGTAGTAAACTCGCTCCGGAACCCGGGAAGCCGCTGCGCGTTAACTCCGCTCGTCGGACATCCCTTAAAATATTATATACACGTGGCCGGACTTAGATTGGTCTGGAGCTTCATGCCGCTAAACACTCGCTCTGATACGTTGCTCGGTGCGCCGTTTAAGAATCAATTTGCGTGCGGAAACTCAGCTGATAGTACACGCTGCTATTAATATCCTGCAACGCTGCACCTACGATACTTGATACCTTCTTTGTTACTCTTTACCCTCAACAATGCGAGCAAAAATGAATTAAACAAGTGTGTGACAAAAGTTTTATTACATTTTTTTTATGATAAAAGATGAGAAATACAGCGACAGATATTTAATACAGTTTTGTAAAGAATTTGTTTATGTAATCAAATTTCGCGTGTGTATTTATACAGATCAAACGATAACAAAGAAATCAGAGTTTTTGATTATTTCTTCTCTGCTAGAGAAACAGAAGACACACTAAGTTTTTAAATCATCGCGGCGGACTGGTAGGTCACTCTGATGTCAAGGCCAGGACAAAAGCCTATTGGGATGAAAAGAGAGAAAGAGAGAGAGAGAGAGAGAGAGAGAGGGAGGGAGAGGGAGCTGCTATATTACCCTTTCTCCGTTCATAGAATAAGAGAGGAGTCGAGAAGCGGCTTAGAGAAAGAGCGGGCCGAATCGGAGAGGAGAGAGAAAGCCGGTTTGAACATCGATCGCGGCCGGCCGCGTTACGGGCGTATGCTCGGGGGCCGCGCACCGGCTTTCCCGGTTTCCGGAGACTCCCGAAAGCACCCTCGAGTTCTCGCTTCACGGTAATTCTCCGGCTGATGAGGAACCCCCCAAGCCCTTTCTCTCTCTCTCTCTCTCTCTCTCTCTCTCCCTCCCCCTCTCTCTATCTCTACCGTAATTCTCTTCCCCGTACGTACTCGCGCCGCGAGCGTCTATTTATTTTAACGACCGACTAATCCACTACGTGCGCTCCGGCTTTTTGCTCGTTATCAAGAACCTGACGAGAAAGGGCTTGATGTGAAGACTGCTGCTGCGACGACTCATCAAATTATACATCGGTCTTTCACTATACACGTTCGAATATCTCAGATATTTCAAATTTATTTGGCGAGTGGGGAGGATATTCGCGGATACTCGTCTCAGCACTTATCGTGTGATCGCGTAATGCGAAGCCAGGTGTTGTAGATCCATTGACCTGTAATTTCTGCCTATTTGAACAAAATAGGAATGTAATAAGTGTGATTTTGAAATACATTTGAATATTAGAAATTGCGAGTATTAAAAAGTTGGGCCTTTTTGGTATGTGTGTGTGTGTGTGTGTTTCAATCACGCTTAATTATAAGCAAAGGTAGTCAAGTTATCTCGATGCGATTATCTCGCTCGATATCGAGGCTTGCTTTGACATCGATGCTCCCTATTTGCGGAAAGAAGAGTCGGGCGGATAAAATTATGACCGGTCCCGGAGGACGGCGATGAGTTATCGTTTGCGATTGTTACCGGCTGTATCGCATCCGGGCCATAATTTTACGGGAGATTCTCGCGGGGCGCGGTTTATTCGCCGTGGATCACGGATAGAGAGCGAGGGAAAAGCGGAAGAGAATTTCGGTCTCTCTTTCGCGCTGCCGCAGAACGAGTTATTTACCGGGTTTGAAAATCGCTCGCGCTTCTAATCCCAAATAAAAGCGTTCGGCGGTAGCGTTGAACGGCTCTTCGTTTATCCCGCCAGCTCGCAGAGGACGGGCTTGCCAAGAGATAAACGTCGAAACGCTCGAACTCACATTCATACTCGGGTTATGGATAGAGTATTTATTCTGGGATCATTGAGCGCGCACGACGAAACTTAGGTGCGCCAACGCCGCGCCGGAAAAACGCACGATGATAAACTTCCACAAGAAAATCGTAGAATTCTATTTTTATATTGAAAGTTTTCTCTTCAGTATTTTTAAAGAATAATATAGAATTTTCTTGAAGATTGCTGCGTTTGCTGAAAAAAAAAAAAATTATTTCTCAAGAAATTATTTGTTGAGATTTTTAAGCATAAAATCCAAGCTCATCGTGTTTTATTATTTTTCACGAGATAAAACGGAGTTATGAATAATCACGATTGTTCTTCCTTACAGGAGTCTATACGATCACGCGTGGCGATGGATTTTACCGGTAGTGTGGGCAGGATAGTCGAAGATCCAAAGGAAGCCAAGGATATAGCCGAGAACGAGGGTATGGTTTGGCGACGGAGATGGCGACCGTTCTCGCGAACACCACCGGGCTGTGCCATGATGAGGCTGCATGGACTTGACGGAGGTATACACGTTCTACAACCTTGGTTTCACGGCGGTCTGAAGAGAGAAGTCGCGGCGGCCATTATAAGAGATCACGGCAGTGTCGACGGGTAAGTTCTATTCTATCTTGACTTGACTTTCTCTCGTTATACAAAACACGAATTGAACTTTTCAGCTGCTTCAAAAAGACTGCAAAACTTTGCTCTTTGTAATTAGAATTTTGTCTAAGCTGCCATAATATTTAAAAACATTTATAATAAAGTTATAAATCTGAGAATTTCTTAGTAATAGTTACCAAAAACTGATATAAAATCATTTAAGACCAGAAATGTTGACGAATTAAACTTTTTATGGAAATATATATATATATATATATATTCTCTGTAGATTTATATATATATATATAATTCTAAACTGATTTGAAAATACAAATCTGCAGATTGACGTTTCGCATATCCAATAGAAAATTGATTTCTCTTGATCGCGCAAACTAGAATGTTCGCGGTTGCACTTCCGTCAAAGCCGCACTTTTGAAGTTTTGGGTCGTTTCTCTCCCCGATAAAACGCTCGATCGCGCTCGGAAGTTGATAGAGCGTCGTTGCAGCGACCGGCGGTGGCGACGACGACAGCATCGTAATGATCCTTTCTCCCCTCCTCCCCCCGAAAATCCCGATTGCGTTGATGTTGGCGATGATAACTATCATCATCCAAGGCGGGAGAGGGTCCGCCTCGAACCGGTTGAGAGTTACGACCTCGAAGCTGCCGGCGTGGACGACACGCCTGGCTGGCGCTTGCGTAATCTTCATCGCGATTATTACGAGCGATCGTAAATCACGATCGTGAATTCCTATCGAACGTCTTCCACTTCTTTCGCCCACCTCAGCACACACACACACTATATTTTTCTTTTTAGTATCTCGATATACTATTCTTTGCTAATTCGCTCGCGCCTTTCTGCGTGCCTGAATTTTAATGGCGATTCTCGATCTGCGTCGAACAACGCGCTGTCTGTTTATGCGTATGACCTTTTTTTTGCGGTTTTATTTCAATAATATATTATCATGTTTTTGTGTGTCAAGAAAGAGAGAGAAAAAAAACTTACACAAACAAATAAATTGTGTGCGCAAAGATACAAAAAATAAAATAAAAAAAACTAAGAACGTTTGCAAGAAAAGTAAAGCGGATTCAAAGTAAGCGAGTTTGCTAATGTATGGAATTTTTATATATTATGCAGATTTGTTTTATATCTTCTCTCAATGTATTTATTATTCTTATAGCATACGTAATGAAACTTGGATCCCTTCTCACTTCTTTATCGCCTTTACTTATGCCCGCTTTGTTCCGAACGAATCCGTCACCGCGACCACATTGACCCTCGCATTTAACCCGTATTGACCCAGTAATCCGAGCAACCGTTACACGTGTGGACACGCCCTTGAAACATTAGGAAATTATTAATATCCCAAATCAGATTTCATTACGTTTGCATAGGCACTCTGGGACGTTGCTCCCGAGAGTGCGTTATTTATTTAACGGAGCGGAATCGTATATGTGCGGCGTCACGTATCGGAGAGAAAAAGACTTGAGAGAAAGATACGTCTGAGAGATATATAAAACGCATTGTAAAATTCTTACGGAGAAACAAACTTAATCTAAAAACAAAAACACTTTATTGATTTGAAGTATCACGTAGAATCGATTATTTGCTTCAAACTTCTCCAAGCAGATTGAATTGCATACTTATCTCTTGTTGAATTACAACAAGAGATTTTGTAAGCGTTCGCGAAGTTTCTAAACGTTTGATTTGTTTCAAAGCTGAGATGATTACAATTATAAGTGACTTTTTGTATTAAGTGCGTAAATCCGTTTAAAAAGGCGCAACATAAACTTTAGCTGCAAAACTATATTGTAACATTGATAAAAAACAAACTAGATTGCGATAGATTACCAACGTACAAATACTATAAAAAACATTTACAATTATTGATTATCTAGTTGTCGAGATAAAACCGCGAAAAGATTGCGATGTTTCTCGACGCTCAATTCGAAACATAAGAGGATAACAGCGGCAACAGAGTCGCTCCTCTCACAACATGTTTGAATCTCTTGACATACTACTTTTGTGATTTTTCTTGGCTCCGTCATACTCGAAATTGCATTTAAATGGTTTTTAGCACTGTTTATACATATATATATATATATATATATATATATATAAATTGACTTTAGTATTGAAATTGAAAAGTCATTTTACCAATTTCCGTTCGACAGCTGAACTCAAAATGTCAGATTTAATTAGACGCGCGCAAAGTTGCCAGATAAATAGTTCGTTCATGTGAGGACAACCGCTACTAAAAGTTTATCGCATCGACGAAAACAAATAAAGTGTTTGCAGATTTTTTGCATAGTAAAACTACTTGTTTATTTCTACACTAATGAAAAGCTGATAAAATAGAGTCTAAAATATTTTGTACGACATGTGAATCGAGTTCTGAGAATACTTTTTCATTGAATAGAATTAACTTTTTGAATAGTACACCGTCGCGCGATAAATACTTTAAGTAAAAGTTTTGGAAAAAATCTTATCTTAAGGCAAACTAACTTTTTGAAAATATTAATAGAGAAGCTACGTAAACACCAACAAGCTACATTGGCTCGTATTGGTTTTTTTTTTTTTAAATGTTGCAATTTCACATCTGAAAGCCTTGGGCTCTTTCTTGTTCAGATAAACAACGTCATTGCAGATTAATGATTTTAAAACCGCGCCAGATTTTTTGGTGACGATTATACATTCCGTAACGGAAACTTGATCATCCATCATCCATCGATGACCTCACGACTCTATGTCGCGACTGTTTTGCCGATATTTTGATTTGTCGTTTTATCCCTTCCTCGTTCTTCCTGTTCTTCGATCTCATCTTTTATTTGCCGTACCGGCGCCGGGAATCGCGGATAAATGGTTAATTAACGACGCTCTTCCATCTATCTCGTCGCGCTTAGCCCCGGGTAATTGAGTGCTCGGGGATCACGTAGTTGTCTCTGGGTTTTATGTCCGTTCAGGGGGGCTCGTGCATAAATTTGCATAATCTCGATCGTACTTCGCCTCGCCGCCTCCGCCGTATTCTCTTCCTCGTATCTTCTCGCTTCCTATCGACAATGAGGAAAAGAAGAGAACAGGAGAGACGCATAGCGAGAGGATCTTGCTCGTCTTTCTTACCTGGCATTCGAGCTTCGTTCGCTTGGCGAGAGAGTTTCCCTTGTCTCGTGTCATCAATGTCGTTGTGGTCATACTCATTGAATGTGAAAAACTTTCTAATCGATTCCGCCCTGGGCATTGTCTACTAATCGCCATTTCTCCTCTCTCTCTCTCTCTCTCTCTCTCTCAATGTTACAAGTTAGTTCTCGGGGTAGCTTGACAGATAGTGAAGTTCTATAGGCATCGTAGCGACGGACGAGAAGCTCCTTTGTACTATACAGAAGCCGTAACGTCGTTATCCTAACTCGGAATAGTCCTTGGACACATTGCCGTTCCGTGACAGGGACTGCGAGTCACCGCTATGTTATCTGCTAGCTTGGCAGACGTGGAATATTCACTCACATGAATATTCCATTGGACGAGCATCGGGGTTGATGAGAGGCGATAACCGGACATCAGCGAACCTTATCTTCGCGCTGTGTACGGATAAGAAGTATAAAAAATGGGTCACATAAACTCGTCTTCCACTCCCGGATATTACCAATCATTCGTGTACGACAGTGACACTATTTTAAGAAATATTACTATCTGTGAAGATGAATTTTTATTGAACAATATTTTAAATTTACTAAAACAATTAAGATACATAATATTTTACATATCTTGATAATATTTATCTTATATATCTTGTAAAAAATATACAATATTTTATATATTTTATATGTATATTTCTATATACATCTCTTATATAATTTTATTTGTAAGAATATAATAATATTTTGTATGTCAAATAATATTTCAATTTTGCTGAAAAAGTTAAGATTGTTATTACATATTAGTGTATAAATATCGGAAAATGCACAATTATAGTATACTTTTAAATTATTATATTACTAATTATAGTATACTTATAAAAAAATTCTTATGTTATTTTTTGAATAAAATTTTTTATGAGACTATTTTATTTTATAAATTAAAAAGTATTCAAAGAAGGATCTCTTTATTATTTAATAAAGAGATCGTTTGTAAAATACTTTTTAGTTTATAAAAAATAAAATAGTCTCATAGAAAGTTATATTCAAAAAATAACGTAAGAATTTTTTTATAAGTGTACTATAATTAGTAATATAATAATTTATAAGTATACTATAATTGCGCATTTTCCGATATTTCTTATTATATCTATACACACACACACACACGCACATACGCAATACGTATTCTTACAATTAACATGACATGTATTCTCATTAAATATTTTGTTCTGTATGGTTTCAGTGTGTTTCTGGTCAGAGAAAGCAAGAGCAATCCGGGAGCTTTCGTGCTGACCTACAAGTACAACGATAAGGTCTTTCATGCGCAAATCCAACCCGTAAGTACTCTAGTTTAAATAGCGACAAATTAAAATGAATTGAATTTTTGTAGTCTTCTCATTAACTGCGGAAATTATTAAAATTTCTTTTATCATGACTTTTAGATAAAGTTACTATATTGTTCAAATGCGTCAGTTTCACTATATCAGCGTTTTTTTATATTATTTAAATGATCTTTTTCCAGATTTTTGACGAGCGTCGTAACTGCTGGTTGTACACTCTTGATAAAGGTGCGACCAAATTTTACGACTTGTTGCAACTGGTCGAGTTCTATCAGTTAAATGCGGGTTCGCTGCCTACCCGGCTGACTCACTATGTGCAAAACGGTGTGAAACTGCCACTTCACAAATCGGAAGACGGCGGCGCGTCGCCATCGCCACCGGAAGGCAGCAGCCAGCGAATTACTACCAGCAGCGACAAGGTTATTGTCGAGCCGTGCAAGCCAAGCAGCATTTGAGTATAGGACAGTCGGCGACCCGCTGGTGTTGTCGACGGCGATCGCCTGTTTACCGCATGCGGCACCACCAACGGGCCCGTCACTATCACTGAAAACGTTGTGATGATACATCGTACCAGCAACAGCAACAGTAACAACAATCGCTTGGAGAACAACAACAGCAGCGGCGATGCCAACGGAAATCACAGCGATGTTTCCACGACACGGTCGGGTTGCTGGAGTCTATGTCTCTGCAGTTACAACAAGTGGGAATTGTAGCGCGATCAGCGGTGATAGAAACAGCAGGACGATGCTCAAGCACGAAGAAGAAATAGTTGTTTTGTTGTAAAGAAAGTGGGAAAGATAAAACACACATGAAGAAAGAAAACGGAGTAAACAAGACAGTTACATGACTTGAGCATCATCGAGTACATCTTTGGATTGCGGTTCGTTCAACGGAGCAACATGTGTAGTGACGTCACTGGGTCGGCTGACCCGTGCAACAGAACGACCAATCTTTGGGCACGAAACATGCAATAAAAACAAAAGTATGAGCGCCGCGAAAAACATCTCAGAGTCGTTGTCGTTGTAACAAAATAGCTGTAACAAATAAGTTTCTATTTCGATTTCTTATTTCTGTTTTGTTTATCCAAAATAATGTGGCAACGACTCTTACACGGTAACAAAACCTCTTCGATATTTTTAATCGTTTATTACTGTGTTAGTTGTATAAAAAAAAAAAAATCTATCGTGTCGTCTACGATTTGTCCGAACAGCTTCTCTTACATTTTCTTTCTATCTGATATTTGCAATGATAAAAGCGCGACTAGATGATAAAAGAGATATCGGTTTTCTTTTTTCTCTATTTTTTACATGTCCATGTTCGCTCAAGTATGGTGATTAAATTGGTAACTGCGTACGACGACATTATTAAGTTGTTTATTAAGTTGCGAAGTTATTTCGTAAGAAGATGAGAAAAATGCGATTTCATACGTTTGCGTGGTGATGCATGCCGTGTTATGTATGAATGCAAAACGAAAAAAAAAAAGAGAAGAGCGAAAGGAAAATGTATCGTAGATTACGATACAGTTAGATAACAATATCCTAGTAAACCTGCAATACAAGAAAAGAACACAAATATGAAATTTAGTCTTTCTGTGCGCAGTTGTGAATGAATGCTGCGTATGTGTATGTAAGAAAGGGAGAGATAGAAAGAAAGAAAGAGAGAGAGAGAGAGAGAGAGAGAGAGAGAGAGAAATAGAGAGAGAGAAATAGATGCTCGATAAAATTGATGCATGATCTTCCCCTCCTCCATCATTTTTTCTTTGTTTTTCTATTTGACACGCGTTGCGCATAATTCTTGCGTTTAGTTGTTTCTCGAAGAAGAGAATGCGCGACAAAGTCAACCGCGAAACCACCACACGACTTTGTCGCTTGACAACGATGACGAGCTTAAACGGCGAGAGAAAATCGGTCAAATCCAAGGGAGAGGAGAGAGAGTATGTATGTGTGTGCGTGTGTGTACGTATGTGTGCATGGAAGCGTCAGCGTATTCCGTTCATTAGCTGTAAGGCTGTGTCAGACAAGATCGCTTGGAAACGATAATGTCTAGATTCAGGATTATTTCCAAGTTCAGAGTGTTCAAAATTAAGCGAGACAGTTTCTCGTCGAGGGGATAAGAGGAAGAAAGCAAGTTTCTCATGGTGATGTTGAGAATGTCTCGCGTTTTGTTTACAAAATTTTTTATTGCGGCTTGCAAAAAGCCACGACGCGATAATTTGCTGCGGAACAAAGTGGCAAGAATCACATAATATTAATGAACCTAAGGGATACAATACGATTAGTGTAAGAATCCTCGATGCGCGTTTGTCGAGAGCCAAGGGACATGTACGTTTCTGAATTCTGGAAGTTACTGTAACGTGCTTTAAGAGATTCAGAAGCATGTGCCTCGGCAGACATGATCTCATATTTTACAGACGTTTTCAGTTGTGTAAGGCATTTGTTGTTTATAATATGAATTCGGAGAGATTGTGAAGTTCAATTAAATTAAATTACTACTATAAAAACCTATAAAACGTGTTAAGGAACGCGTTAAAATCGAAATAAGGGAAGACGTGAGAAAATGTGGATGAGTAAGAGTGAGATAAAAATATGCGTATGTATATATGTGAGGAGAATAAAAAAGGTTTATGTGTGTGGGTAAAATACAAAAGAGGTATATTTAAATACAAAAATATATATATACACATATATATATATATGCATATGTTCTAAATTATATATGATTACTTTTATATTCAGGATATTATACTATCAAGAGAGAAAGAAAGAGTGAAAGAGTGTGAGAGAGAATGTGAGAGTGAAAGAGAGAAAAGCGTTGAGGTGCGCGCGTGTGTGTGTGTGTGTGTGTGGGGGTGTGAAGTTCGTGGGTGTAGCGTCACCGGTTACGAACGTTGTCGTGCATTCTAGATTTATAATGTGGAAGTTTTTAACGTAATGGTTTTTCAATAATAATGTGAAAGTCATTATAACGATAAAAAAAAGTCAAGATTGGCGGGAGCTGTGGAGGAGTGTGCAGGGTATGGACGTGAAAGACAATTATTTACGCAATGTATTATGATTCGTCGAGAAAAAAAACAGTACCAAACCCTCCGCACTTATTCGTATCTACTTTTTAATATATATATTTTTTCATCGATTATATATATTTATTTAATATCGAACGCGTGTAGCGCCTACGCGTCATGTCTTGAAGTGGTAATTCTTGCGTAATTCGAAGAAGTGCAGATCTTAAACAGATATGTAATACACACACATACACACAGCAAACACATACATACATATACACACACCACACCACGTACAATAAACACAGACAAAAATCGCATTAAATTTTAGAATAGTAACGCTTTATAGAGAACTAAATATTAGGATAACAAATTCTTCGTGAATGGGTATGAGAAAAACAATCTTCTGTAGAACGGTGGTCCATAAACACGGCGTTCATCCCTGATCTGTTCGCTCGATGCCCTCCATCCTCTCACTAAATTCAACGTAAAGGTAAAAAATTATTATAACGAAATTACCTCTTTCGGATTACGCTTATAAATCGCGCGGAGAAAAATTATCCTTTCGGCCTTTCGTGTAAATATGTCTATTTAGGCCAAACCCCCTAACATTTCTCCTTATCCTGATTATCCTGTCTGCTCGTGGTCTGTTGACAATTTGAAAATCAACTTTGATAAGCGGTTAATCAATCTTGATTTTTCAAGTCGACACCGCGAAAATCCATCTTCCGTAACTTCTCATAACCCAAAGAATCGAACGGAAACTGAGACAAACGCCAGGTTCCTGACCACCAAACGTATAAAAGAAGCTATAAATATTATTATGACGATTAATTAACTACATAAATTATAATAAAATATATTTTGTATTAATGTAGTCACGAATAATTGCAAGCAAACGCAGTGGTCTGTGAAGACTGAGAATCCAAGTAAAAAGAAAAGAAATGCGATAAAAAAAAAAAAAAATTAGTCCTGTGCGAATTTCATCGACGTCTGTTACGAACAATAAAATGACCAGGTAACGGAAAGGTTAATAATTGTGTTTTTATTTCTATCCCAGGACAGTGTTATTGCGTTATAAAATATTTTTTTATTTTACATTTTATTGAGTGTTATTATTGGCGTTGTATCTAATTTTTAAGAGAGATTATTTCACCTATTTTACCTAACTACAAAAAAATCAGTTTTACCTTTCTTCTTCGAAAACTCTTTAGGATGTATTACGGCCACAGCTTTGAAGTACATTGTCACGATGCAAACAAATGTCCACACTCGTGCTTGCGTGTACGATCGAATCATTCGCAGACGTTGATGAAACTCACATTGTCAGTCTGGGCAAGCGAATGTTCCCGATGTAGAATTCTCTCGTCGGATCGCTCTCTAAACTCAATCAATCGCACGAGTTCGATTGTATAATACAAGCGGCACACAAATTCACCTCACTGTCTATCGAATGAGTGAAATGAAGGTCCGAAACAATCGAGAATACAATGGCAGCCGTTACTTGGCTTGGAAGAGAAAAACGGTAAACATACGAGTTCCGGCCAGGCTTTTTGCTGTTGCGCACTCCTTGTGAAATTCGCAACAAGCAAAAACAGCTTTTTTAATCCGTAGAGCACATATGTGTGTAATAAAATAACTTTTTTTTTTATATTCTCTCGTCGCGATAGATTATCTGTTTACAATTTCAATAAGAGGAGATAAAACGAGAGACGTGAGCGATTTTTATTTTTTTCTTACTTGACATCACGTTTTTTCACAATATTTTTTTTGGCTAGAGAATAAAAGAATGATTTAGAAGATGGCATACGGCATCAAAATTATTGTCTTTGACAAGCGCGTCGCGATTGAAGTTTCACAAACCATTTTGACAAATTTTCGCGGAACACACGTGAGTATCGCAGAGATTACACGGTCCTTGTTAACAGCGTCATAGTCATAGAAGCATTTCGCGATAAGAACAAATTCGAAACTGGCAAGAATCGAACGCGAAGACGTCCAGAATGTTAAATTCATCAGCATGCACTCCCCCGTTCGTTGATCAAGCAATCATAATAGTGATAATAATGATAAGCAATCGCGCTCTCCTCGACTCGGAGCGGGCGAAAACGCTTTAGAATGAAAGAATATGTGCACGTGAGGCGATTACCCTGGTTGAAAAATTGCGCGAAAGTGCCCTTCTTGCGTGTAATAGAGTATACATAATCCAATACGACATATGAGCCGTCGGGTGTCGTATAGATCCACATATTGTGTTGTATTTAACAAAAACCTTACTTTACCCCTCCCCCAGACAATTTTTTGACATTTTTTTATAAATCTAATAAAAACATACCGTCTCTTTTGCAAATATCATCATCGTATAGCAAAACCGTTGTTTAATTTCGTTCAACTTTAAAAAGTCTATCCCCGTGAAAGAAACGATGGCAACTTTTCCTGTTAAAAAAATATACAACTAATTTATATATTTATTAGTTATATACCAAATATTAAACTATAATAAATTATATACTGACATGTATTGGATTTTCTATTATTGATTACTTAACATCGCTGTTTCACCTGACGGCTCGTGCCAGTTAACTAAAGGGAGGGCAAAAATGTCCCATCGACAATCGCCACGTGCGTCAATAATCGCGAAAAACCGATTGATACATATTGATACAATTTCAGGTACTTGCATTTTAACGAGATGCACTCCCGAGTTAAAAAAAAAAAAAAAAAGATGACCGTTTTGGTGTATTCCCGTGAAAATGTTTTCAACCGGGATAAACCTACATGTAAGGCAGAATAAAACAAAACAAACCCAAGTGTCATTTGTGTGCGTGTGTGTGAGACTGTGCGTGCGTGTGTGCAATAAGAGATTTAACGATATAGAGAAAGAGAAAGAGAGAGAATCAGTATTACAACAAAGAAGTTAAATCGTTATATACGTTTCACGACCACACACTTCGGGATTCAGGGAGAAAATCCGCGTTACGTTTACACAGTAATGAGCTCGAAGAACAAGCAGGAGCAGCAGAGAAAAAAGAACTTCACACAGGGTGTTCAAGACAATTTCACGTGTTTAAAAGCCACGAACGATCAAAACAAAACGCACAAATTACCGGACCTATTTTGCGGTCCTCGACTATCGTACACGTATATATAAGGATTTTTTAATTTCTATTAAAAAACATTCGCGCTCGTGCGCGCGCAAAATACCAAATAGCTTCCGTTCATATCCGTATTACATCTTTCGATCCAATTCGCCGAGTCTGTGGATTTCCGTGCGTCCGTGTCGCGGATACGCGTCCCTGTGGTTGAAAAAGTTTCCGGAAGTGCTCTTGGTATACGATATCGAGATATTCCGGCGAAGATTTTCAATTGGTTATTCACACGTGTGATTGACAAATGAACATTTAATAAAATATATTACAGATAACTGGGGGCGAGGCTACACAATGCCAATAACGGCGGGCAATTATCGCGCTGGGTATATCTTCAATGATTGTAGGGACCAACACCTTACTGTTAGTAAATAATAACCGACAGGTACCTATGGTCAGTGAGTAATATACTCAACCAGGGGTGTTATAAAAAATTTAGAATTCTATTTTGTTTTTTTTTTATTTTTTTTTTGTAATGCTCTCACACGTACATATATCTCGTCTCGTGCAACGCGGCGGTAAGCCGCACGATAAACCTCTCGCGATCTCTCAGAAGCAATACGTGAATACCACCAAGTTTGGAAATGAAAGAAAGAGACGCGACACAAGCGAGGCCGCAAGATTCATTTTTCCGATTTCCGATGTATCGTGATACTCCCGACGAGATACTCGCAGTCGTGATCCGTTCCGCTAGAAGGGACAGCACCAAATGGTTCGACATATCGACCTCCTCCTACTCGACAAAAACGCCTCCTCAAATCAATCCTCTTGTGTGCGCAATAAATAAAACTCGTTTCCTCCGAAACAACAATATTAATCTGCAATAATAATGTTAGCACCGTAGCGCCGCGAATACGCGAGAGTCATTGTTATATCTTTGTATGAACATTTAATACGCAATAAATATGTATGTCGTCATCCCGCATCTTGCGGTACTAATGTTAACTAACGCCTCATAGCTCATAGATAATTCATTTTGTACCACGCAATCCCCGTCACATTCTCCTTTTTTATCCTTTATCGATTTTTATTATCTCGCCGAATGCGCTTGTATTTCGCTATTTGATCTTTTGCTCGCGTCTCGACACGTGGCTGGTCATCAACGGTGTCGGTCGCGCGAGTCTCTCGCGGCAATCGGACGGTGCGAGTCGCCGCGGCGAGTGCGCGCGCGCAAAGCTGGCAACAGGTAAACGGCAGGTACGAGAGAAAAAAAGAAGCGAATGAGTCGCGCAGGAGGAGGAGGCGGAGGAATGGGTGAGAGCGCGAGGAGGACAGGTGCGCCAATTGGTGGGGACAAAATGGCTCTCTCTCCGACTTCTCAAAGAGGTGGGAGCCTTTGAAGAACCCGAGAAACTCTGTTGCCGTCTGGTTTGTGGTGCGCTCGATCGACAGTCAAGCGCGGCAGGTCGTATCGACGGTGCGCGGTTTCTGTTGCCTCGTGTACAAATTCGCAACGACGACGTGGTTTGGTGCATGTGTGTGCTCGTTCGCAATTTCCTCGCGATGCAAGAGTCCGACGACGTCGTCGGGGTGAACCGCACGTGATCGTGCGTGGGTGCGTGCGCGCGCGAAGCCGATTGCGCTTCACGAATGACCTCGGTAAGCGAATAATTCATTTAGTTTTTTTTCTCAATTCTCTCTATATTGATTGAATAAGAAAAACTGTTCTGTGTAAAATTATCTTCAAATATTAAGAACAGATAAATACTTTTTCTTATTTAGTTGAATTGCGAAATTGAGTGAGAGATCTCTCCTTTTTTATTTTAGAGCATCTCCGAAAGTTTAAACTGTATATTCCTAAGATCAGATAAAAAAGATTATTACATAAACAGACAATGATTCCAAAAGTCAGATTTTAATATCGTCTCGACATTTATACAGCGATTGCTTCCGATTTTGCGCGTACGTGATTGCGACTATTCTTACATCGGATTTATCGTTGTCATTAGACGCGCGAGAATCCGATTACCGAGCTCGAATCGAATTAGAGTCGATTGACAGTAAATGAAAGCAAAGCGCACATGTTAAAAGAACGCGGAATATGCGCGCGCGAGTAACCGGACGACGCTACAAGAAGGATTTCGCGGAGACTTCAACGATCGCAGTTACATAGATAAAGACGCGCGTAGACTTGACGGCGCGTCCGGTTTATTTGTCGCATCGTCGATTCTTCTTTTCTTTACTACGTTATATCGATCGATCTATTTCTTGGAAATACCTTATATGGTTAGAGTTTATGCGATGCACACGGGAATGTTACTACAAACTTTAGTTTTTAAAGAAGTTTTGCTTCTAATTCAGAAGTGATCTTTATTTCATTCGAGTAACGTCGTTCGACTGATCTCAAGTATTGAAAAATAATATATATTTTTACAATATTCATATAATATAATATATTTATATATCCTTATATTAAGATAGGTTAATTTTAAGCAGTATAAAAGATTTCAAAAATTCCGAGTTTATCAAATGCAAAAACACATTACGAGAGCTATTACATCTAAATGTACGTACGAAGAAATGACTCGAAACAAAAGTCGAAAAGATGTTGATTTCTCTGTTTCTGTTTTAGTATTTCCTTTGTATACTGTGCGTTTTTTTCTTTAGAAATTCATATCACTAGTTTAAAATATCTTCCGGATAATACACAATGTATTCGTTATCAGATTTTTTCTCAAACTCAGTAAATACATTGTAACACAAGTTTGCTCGGACAAGGACAAGTAAATGGAGCGCGACGTTAGATCGTACAATTCCGTTGCAATCGTGTAGAAAATCCGTGAAAAACCGATACTTGAAGTACCGAGTGTTTAGAGTTTATGAGAACTTAATTAGTAATTTATTGCCCAGTAGTATTAGTAACTAATTGTTCTCTTCATTCGTTTTGTCTTGACTCACGCGCTGATTATCGTGAAGATAGGAAACGCGGGATATATTGTAATTGGAACTGTGCAAACGCGCGGTTTTCTTCGAGACCGATCGCTGTCGCAGCATTCGCGATGTTTCGTCATAAGGAAGATGATCGCGCGTGTGACGCGATTTCTCTTGCAACAATTCATTCTGACGTAAAGTACGTGACTACAAGGCCGCATATTGCACGAAAGCGTTATCAATGCGCGAGATGTTACAAGAAACGAGATATCGAGTGTACGTGGATATGAGTCAGTTTCTAATTAAAATAATCGTGCCTGCACGCTTTGACTGACAGACGCAGTTCGCTATTTGCGGATTACGTAAAACACGCTGACTCTTCGATTGGCGATTATCTTTAAATCGCTTGTTTGTGTGTGACCCACAGCGACTATAGTAAACTCTGAACACAAAATTGATAATCCAGGAGATTACAAAATTAATTTTTGAGTTAGGCGATTCGGTTTGAAAAATTTTATATTATTTATTTCTTATGTACATGTGTATAAGATTTAAAAAGCTATTAAAAAAACTTACATTAATAAATAGTTTGATTGTTTTACATGTCAACTATTGTGTCCAACCTATTATTAATTACGCTACGCAAACATCGCGCTATTCAATGTTTGATAAACTCACTTCGATTCGTGATTCATTCCTTCGACCGGAGTTGCAGTTCGAACACAATATCTCGACGGACGGCGCGTCGTCGGTTCAGCGTTCGCCATGCGTAAAAGCCTCTTCGTGAACCAGTCGGGCAACATTCCTGTGCCCCAACAGGCACGTCCTACCTACCTTTTCGACTTCTACTCGGACTTTCCTTAGCGAACGTTGTCAGAAGCCGCTCGTCGAATGCGATACAGTTAGTAACACTTTCCGTTATCGCAGAGGAAAAAGCGGACTCGACATTCCACTGCTTAATGAAAAGTAGACATGCGAGCCCACACGTATCAGTACGGCGCAATAAACAGCCGTTTGGAAAGAAAAACATGAGAATAAATAACGAAGTGATATAATGAGCTGCAATTTTTTCACGTAAATTAAAGTTCTAAAAATTTGTAAAATTAAAATAATTTGCAATATATTTGTCATATCAAACTATTGCTTTGCAAACTTCGCGCGACGACTATTCGAAGCCTGTATTACTCGTTCCTATTCAAATTCCAGTTATTACCACATCAGGCAACACCCTGAAGCATTGTACGCCTCTGTACGTATTGTGTTTGCATTCGGTACCAGGTGTACTACAACGTTCGCTGGTACACGAAGCGAATTGCAACGATGTGTTGCATCCGCGTGAGTAAAGTTTTTGCATGCTTCGCGGAAAACACATAATATCCGGTAACTGAATAAGCGTGGCGATGCGCCTTAAAGACGCGCGATTTAATCATTGTAATAAACGTAACGTAAAAAAGAGCACGTAGAACCGTGTATCATCCGTGACAATGACTGAAAAAATAATACTGTGTGTGTTACAATTCGCAAAAATAACATCAACATTAATGTTATAATAATATATTTATTGAAGAGAAGGATCTCAAGCGTTGAGTTGAGAATGTGAATTTAAAACAATTCAATGCACATAAATGTAAGAATTACAAAACTTGTGATTGAAAAATTTTCTTCTGAAAGTATTGCTTGAAAGTGCGAGACGATAAGAAGATTAGATCGAGATGTTTCAGGCATAAAAAAGGACATAATTCAATATTTCTTCGATCGAAAACACGGGTTGTTGTCACGAACAATTTTCCTACGCCTATGTACGTGAAGGTACATAGGAAATGGCACGAAGCAACCATTTACCTCGCTGGTTGATAGGAGGAATGAGTCATACAAACGCGATACGACACGTCCCTGAGAATATTAGTGCCTCATTATCCATCTCATATGTATTTTATTTCGAAAACGAACTTTTTTTCTACACGCGTATGTTCTTCCTTTTATCTATTACATTGTTTTTTTAATTCATTAGGTACGCGAGCTTACCGCATCAGCCTTATAAAACACAAATCATATGCAAAAAGACCAATACGACTTACGGTATGGAATTATCTCAAGATAATAAACTGAAAATTTATGTAAATAAATATGAATCAAATTTTGTCGATATATAGTGAGATGATATTTTCAATTTTCACCGAGATCTTCTTCAGTTACAAGTTTAAATTCATAAATATTGATTGTGTGACAAAGTGAAAGTCGACTATGATACGACATAGCGATGTCTATTGATTCGAACATGTTTGCGCTCGCGAAGGACAAAAATTGATTTTCGTGTAGAAGCAACGTTCCTGAATTGCTAAATGCTCTGTAGCGCTTTATAAATTCATAAATGTCTCTTACAATTTCTATATTCGCACATTATACATAAATATCAGCAATAATTGTAGGATGTAATATTTGTTTATATTATACCAGAGAATATATATTTCTCTGCTTGCGCGAATTTCACGTATCGGAAATATATAAAGCTGTTTTAAGAACGAAACGCGCAAACTGTGAGTTTATAAAATAAAATTGTTCGCTACGTGACAATAAAACGAGGCCGTCAGTAATAGTCGAGGCGAAAGTATCTCCGCTGTTGCGCGATACCGGAGGCCATTTTGATGCATCCATCTCACGCCCGCGTGTGCGTTAACACAGGTGTTTCGAGCGTACAGGTGATGTCTGGCACTTCACAGGCACGACGCATCTCTGACACCGCAACGTTGCCTAAATAAATAAACTACATTTCATTGTACAAAAACTTTCCTGCGATCGAAATTTTTAAATTATGTGATAAATTTAATTTTTAAATTGAGTGATCTTAAATTCTTACCTAAATTAAATGACGATGTCACGGTGATGCTCTTGATATCGAAATGACGAATTATTTATTCGATAACAATCCTCTTTATTAGCTTGCGATCTCTTGTAACTAATATATTTTTTACTTGTGTTCTTGACAATAAATCTCAGAAAGCTAATACATTAGACAAAATAAATATTCATAAATTAGTTCTTTATTGTTATATAAATAAATGTATAAAAATTACATGTGTGTTTAGCGAAGCGAGGCATGGAGCCTTGTCAAAGTATACCTTTCGAGTACCATCGAGGATCGCTTCGAGCGTCGATCGTGGATTGTGAGCGGGTCACGATCGTGCCCTAAATCTGTGATTCGAGACGCAGGAGAAGAGGGAGAACGGCAAAAAAGAAATTACGAAAAGACGAGCGAAAAAAGAGAGACGGTCGAACCGGTTGGCGAATTCGACGAAGCATTGATCAACCATTGCCTTCGATGTTTTCTGATGAAACCGTAAACACAGAATGACGTTGTTGGTGATATCAGTCGTTAGTTTATCCGTCTTTGTCAGCGTTTCGCTCGCCGATTTTGATCCCCGGGGTGTCAAATGCGGAGAATTGCGATGCAACATCACGGAGTACTGCAGTCCTTTTGATCAACACTGCAGACCCTGCGCTGTCGTCTGCGATGTCAACAGTCACAATTATCAGCCGGAAGAGTGCGCGAAGGACTGTCAAGGTGAGCCATCAATAATATAGTAAACAGGAAATTTAAAGAATTTCGTGAAATTTAAAGAATTATGTTTAAAAAAGAAAGAGAAAGAGTACTCAGAAGCTAGCGCAAGTCGTGCGCGGCGCCTATCACGTGACCTTAGCAACAGGAGAGCGAGCTCTTTGGTCTATGCGAGTGACTCAACTCGGCTATCGCATCCTATAAACAAATAATAGAAGAAAAGAGCCTTTAGCCTTTTCATCTAGCATTTCTTTTCGAGGCACAGGTTCGAAACACAGTGCATTCACTCACTTTTACGGAAGTTTCTTTTGATAATCAGTCGATTTTTTGAAATGCGAGAAGTGCGAGACATGTCAGCGACACGGTTGCATCCACCTATAGCAGTGACGTGGTGCAAGGCACGGACCCACTTGAGTTAAAAATTTCTGATAACAAAATTTTACCTTGGATATATAAATATGATAGGTTTACATCATTTTTTTATATTTCACCATCATCGCAACATAGTTTATTAATATTTTTTTATTAAAAATGAACGTTTGGCATAAGTTGACTGAAATAAGACGAAATTAGATGTCACACATTAATATGCGCGTGAAATCCTCGTTTCGCGCGTTATCTCAACGAAGTATAACATTTTTAAAAGTCATTATAAACTTTTTACATTAAAATATCATCTATGTTCTATGTATGTTTAAAAAAAACTTATTTAATATAAGCGTTTATAAAAGTCATTTATAAAAATTTTATTTTTTATAAATAAATAATGATTATTAATGTTTTTAATAAGTAGTTACATGTAAAAGATGTTATTATTATACCAAATATTACATACTATTGCGTACATCTTGTTTTTTTAATAATTTGTTTTGGATATTACTTTGTGCTCCGGTCTCTCCTATCTACTTTGCAAAGTATGTAGAAGATATGTCTCTTTAACGCGCTCCAACGTTTATATGTTGTGCCACGTATTTTGCAAACTCGAATTTACAACCCAATCACCTTCTATTCGGGACCACGTCCCGGATACACCGTCCGGTTGTTCCGGTTTCTCGTTTTCACGCGAACGACGCGCATACTGGAAACCGGATAATGCAGTACCGTGCCATCGTTCAACCACCGTCGAGCGCGAGTAGAGTCGACCAACACGGGGTTCTCAGGTCCGTTGACTTTGCACCTGACTGTCCCTACCGACTTCCCACACGCGAACGCGGTTGATGAGTCATCCAGCTTCTTTTCTTCCTCCCTGCCGTTCTCCTGCGCCGTTCTTTTTCTTTCGGCTTGTTTCGTCTCCTTCTCTCATCGTTCTTTTTTTCCATTCTTTCCTATTTGAGATTCAACACTGGTTCTGCGGCAAAAAGACGGGGGAATAGGGGATATCATATTCATTGCTCCGACAGGTAAGAGAAACCACAACTTCGCTCTTCGCGACGCACGAAGAATGAAATCTTCCCGCTTGAATATCAAAGGATGCTTCGCCACGTGACGGGAGAGGGAGACGTAATGTTGTAGCTGCGAAGTTGCTCGCGTGGAGTTCCGTCGAGTTCTACACATGGGTTCTCCATTGAGAGTCCTCCTCGTTACGGGTGTCCGGTTACGTTTTGTCGGTAAACTCGGTTCAACCTTATGTACAAATTTCACATTAGGGGAGAACTTGTTGACTCTGCGTGCCGGTGAACGTTTTAGTAAAACTGTCCCGAGTGAAAAAAGTTCGATATTAGAGACAGAAACTACTCTTTTCACCCCTTGTCGTTATGTAAAAGTAATCGAGAGATTTGGTACGATGAATAAGGATCAAATTTTATATCTTGTAACAAGGTACTCTACTTTTTCTTTTCAAAATCGCATTTTTATATAACACACATATAGGAAGATACATAAATGAAATTTGAATATTGTAGCGTACCTAATATTTGAATTATACGTAATATCTGTGGGATAATTTGTTTATTTAAGTACGATCCGCAAAATACATTTTAATAAAATATGCTGAAGTATTATAAAAACCAACATATTTTCGAAATTACATAAATAAAGCTGAATTATTCGGAGTGATTTGTGGTGAGATGTAAACTTCTGTCTATCTCGTCCCGCTCGGTTGAGCGCTCGCAAATCGATTCTACTCATGATCCCTATTCAGGACTAGGATTGCTTGCCTCCCTCGGTTTGGAACGGGGTCACCTCCTCGCATTTACAATCACGATAAGGACACACGATTATACGCGTGCCCACGTGCCGCAGGTAAAGCAACCGTCGTAGGTCGGAATTGTTTGCGCCGGAGTTGCTATCGCAACCGACCTTAACGCAGGCGCGCGCGAGAACCTGCACCTTTGTCAGGTAGATCGTTGACCTCCAATAAGAATAAGTGAAAAGAAGAACTGCTAGAAGAGACACACTTGATATGTGCTAATGGCAGTGAAATCGATTTCGCGTAAACCACAATCAATTTTATGTAACGCAGATTTCCTCAATGTAAAGACGTGTTAATAGCAATTATAATGTGTGTTACGTCGCAACTAACTCGTCTCGCTCGAACTGCAATTGATTTGACTTTCATTATACGAACAATAAGATTTCCCTCTCTCACGCAACTGGCATGTAATAATAACGGCATACAATAAAACGGTTACGGTTGGAAAATCTTCACGTTCTGTAGCGTGTCGCTACAGAATGGTTACATTTTTCGTAACGCTTTCTAAGTATGTATACGTATTTTATAAACTTGAAGTATGTATTAACAAAACCTACTATTTGTTGTAGTTGTTGAAAATGTTTAAGCGTTTCTTGAGACAAGTTTAAAAATTATTGTATATAAATATATATGCGGAACGCGGATTAAAATTAATTGTCGCCGATTGCCTCTTCTGATTTCAGTTTATCTTCAAGATCAGCGCTACATGCATCGCATGGATCCACAGTATTACGATCTTAAAGGTGAGTGAGTTTTAAGGTGTGAATTAAATATGCGCATACTTTTACCATGAAGTGCCGCACACACATAAGAGAAATCGGATAAGTCAGAGATTTCAACGACAAATCTCACGCAAACGATTATACGCTTTATAATTTCTACGTGACTATTGCTTAATATCGCGAAGAACGTCACTACTATTTCTTGCTGATCTCACAGTTATTTTTATCATAAAAATGTAAATCCATAGGTGTGTAGCACAAATATTCTTTTTTATGTATATAATGTAAAGATATATTTTTCAGAAAAATATTTTAGTTCAATTGTGTTTTCTAATACAATAAGTTTTGGTACCAAACTACTATAATTTGTACAAATATATAAATTGTACTATTAGAAATTGTAATATAAAAATTATTTCCAGATATTTTAGTAGTTATTGTGTTTGGTTGAATTATATAAAAAGCTAATATTTACAATGTTCTTTTTTTAAGATAAGAGATATATTAATTCAGAACGTAACCTGCAAGTTATAGCAGAACGGATGTTACATAGGAATGTTTATATCTTTTGAAATTAACGATATTATATGAGCACAAAATAGTTGATGATACATCTTAATCACTTCCTAATTTTTTTGATTTTTTTAAATTTTATTCTTTCTGCAAACATATATGAAACAAAAAGTTGCGCGCAAAATACGTGTCGTAATGTGCTTCGTAACAATATATATTTTAAAATGTACACACATATATTTCTAATTACTATGTTTTTATAACACGTTTTGATATATTATTAATGATTGATTTTTTGTGGAAACAATACACATTAAATAATCATTTTTAGTACCCTTGAATGTCTTCATTTATAAGTTGTTATTTTATTACAGAGGAAGTAGAGAGACTTAAGATCAGATTCACGATTATAACTACGTTGATCTGCATCTTGCTACTAGGAATGTTTTATCTATTGGGAAGAACTTTAATACAATGGGAAAAGATCCAAAACACCTTGCGAGCTTTATTCACACGGAAACTTGTAAAGGTAAAATGTGAGAACGATTCTTTCCAAGTTCACATAATTCTTAACGTAATAGTTTTCTATTAAAGTTTTTTAATAAAATTCACTTTATAAAAGACAAAATAAATAGTAACAAAAAAAAATATATAAAGTCGCACAAAAATGATTAAAAAACAATTTTGTACCTTGTCTCTTTTTGTGTTTTCAAATACAAAACAAGTATTTTTGACAGAGATTTACTTAAGCGTTTCTGGCATATGCTATTTGCGACAAAGTATTACGAGAACTTTTTGAACGTAATATTTTATTTCAGCAGGCAGCCAACAAGAACAAAGTGCAAGACGATGTCGAGGCCAATGTGAATAAACAAAACGGTCTTAAGTTGAGTATACCAAGCATAAGTGCCACAGTGGAGTCAGAATCTAAGAGCTCTGAGAACAGCAAGGGAAACAATAGCTCACCAAATACTACGAGTACTACTCTCTCGCGACGATGTGCCAGCGAGGATAAAACTCTCGATTTTTCTTACGATAATCCGGCAATGACACCGAGTCCGGAAGCGGCGCAAATGAGAATCAAAGCTCGCGAAAGCTCATTTTGAAGTATTTCAGATTTCGAATATTTAACATCGGTTAGGGCGCATATAATTCTTCTCGACTTTGAAAAAATATCAAAGACAATTAATTGTCTGAAGAGAAATATATTTGTTCGTTCTGCAAAAGCACAAGATGTGCAATTTGGAGTTTATCTGCAGAATGAGATAGAAGCGTTTCGTGTGATGACATTCGGTTTTTGTAAGAAACAAGTATTTGATCAGAAATTGTCTGTAAGGAAAAAAAAAATTGTTTTGTCGGAATATTGAATAATTCGTGTAATCCTGACAGGAAAATGAAATAAGGATGTGGCAAAGTGCACATATAAAGTATGACGTGGCTATTTTGTCTAATTTTATGAATGAAATGCGTTGTAAGATGTATCAATGTTTTTATAAACGATTTTTCGAATTGTCTTAGTAATATATATTTTGATAACGAACGATTGAAAAATCGTCAGATTCAATATCTTCGTCTTTCTTAAATATAACGTGCACAATTCTTACTACTTTTACGGGCGATATTCATAGTCGATTGTTATTCCATGAATAACCACAATTTTATTCATGATTATTATAGTTACTCACAGAGTCCATGTTGTTTCTCACTAATTTCTGAATCATTAAAAGCTAAATCATAACCTGAATGATTTGCTGTTAATGATACTTTCAGAATATATGCATACAAGATATATGAGTGATGCTTTCGATCTTGTATTGATTACGTTTTGAGACATAAAAATAATATTGGACAAAAAAAAACTCTATTTACATTGTTTCTGATTATGGAATTATAAATATCATCTTAAATAACAAGTTACTTGTATACATATATAATAAAGTAAGTTTGGAGTGGCTCGTGAACACACGTATCACGCCTCCGCGTACCGTGCGGCTGTGTGACTTAATTATGTAATGATTAACGCGACGCGTTCGCGCGACATAGATATAGACGCGAACACGATGCAATCCCGTCGATTTAATGTTCTTGCTCTTAAACTGCTGTCGTCGTAGCAATGTTGCAACATATCCTCCAACGTGTGTAGCTCCAACATATATGCACAATCATCCAATATAAAAAAGTAAAAACGTCTTTAAATTCATTTTTTCGTTTATTTTTAAAATTGACGTTTGTACGAATTACTTTTAATTCTTTATCCTAAAACTAAATACAAAGTACATTAATAAGTACATTTTTATTTTTTAAGTCTTATTTCGCGCAGGACTTTTTGACACTTCTCATCTTTTCGTCAAATCTGTTTTTCTTGATATCAAATAAAAATTCAAAATTGCAAAGTCCAAAGATATATATCTGTAAAATTTTACTAGAACGTTTTTCTTTAATGATGATTGCTGCTTTGCTAAAATGATATTAATAGCCGGAATTTAAGATCGATGATTATTCATTAGCATTTGTATTATATATCTCTCGTCTTCATGTAAACCTTTAGGAATAAGTATATAGAAGTAAGTATCTTAAGAATTGCATCTCCTTATCAGCCATTCCGTCCATGAAAGGCCTTCTGAGCAAACGTGCGCGTGTAAGACGGCGCACTTTGCATAGGTCAGTGACGTTGCACGCGAGAACGAAGGAAGATCGATAATAATTTTACCTCAAGCGCCACAATGTTGTTAAAAGTCGTAAGCAATTTTAAATAAGTTTTAAATAGGTTTGATTAAAGACACAATTAAAACGAAACTAGTTTTTCAAACATAAATATTATATAAATATCATTAATTTTGGGATAAAAAAATACGCATTTGATACGTAAAAGTTTAAAAACTGATATTCTAGAAATTATTTATAATTTGCTCAAAATAAGCACGCTCAAAGCGTGTAATACTGTGCTCACTGCAAAAATATTTTGTAAAATATATTGTTCTATTTTTATTAATTAAGAGGTGAATATGTCCAACTCTTCTAATGCTCAATTTCGACAAGAATATAGTGGGAAAATTGCTCAAAATTATCAATTACATTTACTAACTAGTACAAAAAATTACTTATTTTAGTTCAAAATTTTTTCTCGATGTTAACAGAAAAAAATAGAAATTGATTTCATGTTTTCTTCGTTCCGCAGTATAACCACTGACCTTAGATGTAATCATTTACATATCAGTGCATTCATTTTTAACGATTAGCGAAGTAGTAACGATACTACAGCACATTTCTCACCTTAGCTAGTTGATCACCTTCAAGGGTGGATCTCAACGTCTTCCAGAAACGAAGATATTAATTTTGCCCAGAGGCAGCTAACTATAATCTTAAACTTTTGAGTCCAATTGTAAATATGACGAATAGTGTTATTTTTAATTACGCGTTACCGGATTTCTTGTTTAACAAAGAAGTCAAGCGAAAAGATATTTCTTACAATTTGCTCGCAAATGTTACCGGACTTACAAGTCAATACGAAAAAAGTAAGCGCAACTTAATATCTTAATGTTTTACACTTGTCACCTGTTTGAACTTTTCTGTTTTTAATGTACTTAATAATATATTGTATTTAACAATTTCAATATTTTATTGTAACATTAAAATATATTTATATATATTCTATTTTAGTGATTAAAGGAAATATTATTACTATCATAATTTTAACATGTTCGAAATTTTTGACAATGTAAAATATATTACAACGTTAAGTTTTAAAGAGGAGCATATAAATGAATCTGTCAGTGTATGTTTTTTTGTCAAAAGACTTACACTGTTATCATTTACTGTCATATTATTGTATTAATATCAATGTGATTAGAATAGTGCCTTTTCCAACGTAATGTAAGGTGCGATTAACACAAAAGATATCAATTTTATCTTTTTGACAGAAATTTTTTTCAAAGATGAAATATATTTGCAACGAAATTTTACAGAGTCTCCATATGTTCGTATACAAAAAATATTTTACATATGCGCACATTAAAAATGCTTCTTTCAAGAAACATTTCTTGCATCGGCAATTCAGACAAGTCCATTTAGTTTATTAATTTATTAATTCAGCCACTACATTACATCACAATATCTAAATAAAATGAGACTTCACTTTAGTCGTGAAACTAAAGAAGTCGATTAAAATATCATTAAACTTTGTCAATAACATTATGTATTTGTCAATACATAAATGCGACGATTTATTAAGTTTGTATGTAGACATTGTAAGTGTGCGAAATATTTACTTAATATATCCTATTGTTAAGGAAAACCGCAATAATATACATTGTACATTTTGTCGAGATATATTAGTTATTGAAACATGTTTATACTTCAAGAGCGAATATTTTACCGTTGTTACATTGTAACGCTCTAACTGAAAAAATAGATATCTACACACACCGTTTGTAATTTTACTTTTATAATATATACATATATATGCTGTAATTTTTTATGGGAACTATGAATACCTTTATTATAATTTGTATATTTCTGATAAGCTCATAGAAATACATTTATATAAGATATGTTTTATACAAAATATAAAACATTATATTTTCTCTGAGCGGCAGCGACTTTATTTCTTGTAAATAAATGAATAAATATATATATATATATACATACATATATACATATATGCGATAAATATGAAGTAAAATTTACTTACTCCGTATCACCTACAACTTCTACCATTTTCTTTCAAGTTCCATTAGAACAAAATATTTCTATAATTTTTTTTTTTAATTCCATTACAACAAACCTACCTAAGGTCTATCGGCCGTGTCACGTCTGTATAAAGTATCATTACGGAAGGCGGTGGTCGAGGGCGATGTGGAGCAAACGACAGCGGAGAATCCGCAATTATTCAATCGTGATTCGTGGAGTCGCGTTTAACGCATCGCTCTTTCACCGCCACAGACGTTTCGTAGAGCGCGCAGAAGAAGAAGCGACGCATCCGTAATCTCGTCGCTGCATCATTCCCGCGATCTCGAAATCTCGGTTTTATCGCGAGATCAAAAGTGTCGCAACGACGCGCGTAAATTTCGCGAACACATTCGTGATTTCAATCACTTTGACATCCGTGATTTCCCGATTTTCCGTTAACGCGATTTTTCAAAAGAAGTTGCCATCTAAAGTTCAAACACATATTTGATTCTTCAACTTTACAGAGTGCAACGGTATTCGTGAAAAAATGTTTCTACATCTATAAAAGTATAATCTTTGAAGTGAATAAATGTGGAATAACTGTTTATGTGTTCTCCGAATTAATTGTCTTGTAGAAAGACTGATATTACGCAAAATACATGCTACTTTTTGAACATTTTAGAAAAATAAATATCTTCGGAACAATAAAATTCTTCTATAAATAGTTTAATGCGGATTCAACGCTCGCTATATTTCTGTAGGATGTTGAAAAACTCGAGAATAACATATTTATACGACGAGATAAAAAATATTTGTGCATGTGGTGTGCAAATTTATTACATTCATCTCATTTACTAATTTATATACAGATTTATAAATTCAAGTTTATTAAATTATTGAATATCACACACACACACAGAGATATATTATAATAATATGTTAATATAAGCGCACCACAATATATAATGTTCACACACGCAATAATCTTGAAATAAAAAATTAACCAGTTGCCAATATATCTGATTTTAGAATATTTGTGTTTGATATAACAATTTGAAGAGCAATGGATGCAGAAACGCGGCGAACCTTCGACTTGGTCGATTCAATCGTGTTTATCGGATTGCTGGGCATTTCTGCCCTCGTGGGTGTCTATCAGTGTTATGCGTCGAGGAAGAAGACAGACGCGGTTGGAGAATATCTTGTGGGTGGTCAAAAAATGTCTATATTTCCGATCAGCATGTCACTGATAGCAAGGTATAAAAGCTCATAATAGATTGTCAAGTGCTTTATTTTGATTCTTCTTATCGCATACTATCTATAAATATATGTCTAATGGAATTGTATGTAAGATTTTGCAGTCGTTTTTTTATGTGCGTTAAAAAAAATATTTGATGTAAAAATAGATTTGTATGAATTTGAGTCTTAATCTGTTATACAATTGAAAAGTTAATCATATTGGTAGAGGAACTATTCCATTAACCGGAAACATAGGACACGTTAGGTGACATTTGCTTCAATTGACTGTCAAGGCTCACTAGCTAAATTTTTCTACTTATTAATAGCTACAACGTGTAGTTGGATAAGAAAATTCGTTCTAAGTGCACCCCATCTTAGTCATATGCCATTATAACGTTTTATTGACGACTATACTTTCATCTGTATGAATCTTTGTTTCTCAGATGTAAGCGTGTGTTATATATAGCGATGATACAATCGCGCGGTTTTGAACGAATAAATTGTTTGTTATTATATTTTGTGTTTTGTGTGATTAGTATATTTTATTATTTATTTTGATTACTCGATCTCATTTAACAGGAATTGAATAGAAAATTAGTACCGCTTAAATATTTTATGTTGTATAAATGTTACATCATTACGAGTCACTTTACAGACGGTGTCTCAAAATTGCAGCTACGTGTCGGGCATAGCAATGTTGGGATTACCGGCCGAAATGTACGTTTACGGTACGCAATTATGGTGCATCGTGATTGCGGACACTTTTGTATCCGTAACAATGGCAGTCATATATCTACCGGTTTTCTACGGGCTCAGAATTACATCGTCTTACGAGGTATAAATAAATACAAATATATAAATATATAAGTATGTATATGTACTTACGTCTGTATATAACGTATATATGTATATATATGTCTGTATAATGTAAATAAATCTGTGAAAAGAAAAACTCAGAAATCTGTGATATTTTTTCTCGCAGTATCTAGAATTGAGGTTCAATCGAGTGGTCAGACTTATGGGATCCTTTATTTTTATCATCAAGATGGTGAGCTCGTGTTTGATTGTTTATGTTAAATAAGTAAATAAAAAACCTTAAATTAATAAAATCTCATGTCCTCTTATCTGAATATTTTTCGTAACATGTTCAACTGTATATACATACATCGATCTTGCGGGCAATCTTGCAGCTGCTTTACATACCGCTGGTGATATATGTGCCGGCGCTAGCCTTCAATCAGGCGACTGGAATGGATCTCTATACCATCGCCTTACTAGTCTGCGCCGTGTGCATCTTTTACACGACGTTGGTAAGGACAATACTAATTGTCACTAAATAGATATTATAATACGTATTTTTCTTGCTATTTTATTTTATTTACATTATTATTTCTTTTTATTACAGGGAGGCTTGAAGGCGGTTGTCTGGACGGATACTATCCAAACAGTGATGATGTTCGGTGCAGTAATTGCTGTTGCTATACTCGGAACTGCGAGAGTTGGCGGGATAACGGAGGTGTGGAGACGAAACGTCGATAGCGGAAGGATCGAATTCTTTAAGTACAAAATCTTCTCGTATCTTAAAATATCTTTTACGAGTGTTTTATTTAATTCACGAACTATTATAAGTAATTATAGTATTGTTATATTTATATTTTTTAATCAGCATGGATCCAGATCCTACGGTAAGACATACTTTCTGGACCGTGGTGGTTGGTAATTATTTAAATTGGTTGGCCACGTGTTCGGTGAACCAAGCAATGGTACAAAGATGCTTAGCAATGCCAAACTTGAAGAAGTCAAACGTGTAAGAGAAATGTTCTACAAATGCGCTTTGGGACATACCTTGCTTATTTATTTTTTTTTAGAGCGATTATGATAATGGCTGTGGGCATAATCAGTATCGTATCATTGTGTTGCTATACCGGAATTGTTATTTATGCGGCCTTCTATGACTGTGATCCAGTTACAACAAAGGTAGTAAATTCTAGCGTAAAGGAGTAGTCTCCGAATAAAATCTATTCAAATATTTTTGTCAAGTTTTATTTTTTTAAATTGACAAGTATTTTTAATATTAATTTGCAAAGAATTGCGTTTCAGCAAATACGAAAGCCTGATCAGCTTTTACCATACTTTGTGATGGAGTTATCACACGCAATACCGGGTTTGCCAGGACTATTCGTATCTGGCGTGTTCAGCGCAGCATTGAGGTATTTATAAAATATCTCTCTCTCTCGATTGAATTTTCTTTGTGCAATTTAATTTTGGATTTCTGATTATATTCTCCTTGTGATTGTATAATGTCACTCATTGATCTCTAGTACAATGTCGACCGGATTGAATTCAATGTCGGGCGTGATCTATGAAGATATGATCAAACCATGTCTCCGTAGGCCCATCTCCAACATCGGCGCAAGCCGTATAATGAAAGTTACTGTTGTAATAATAGGTATCATTTGTGTAGGCCTCGTCTTCATGGTGGAGAAACTGAGTGGTTTGATTCAGGTAAAACTTTCGCGTTTGCATAAAAACTCGAAATATTGAATCATTCTAGAAGATCAGTACATCATTGTGTGTTCATATTTACTCTTTGAAATCATTATTAATCTCCATTCCAGGCTGGTAAAAGCTTATCGGGAATAACCGCCGGACCTTTGCTGGGAATATTTACGCTAGGCATGTTGTTTCCAATGGCTAATTCTATGGTAAAAAAATAATTGTAAATATAACTATAAAGAGAAAATAGCATATACATATAAGTACAATCGTAGACAAGTTTTATTAAAAGAACAATATCAACTTTTTACTGTTTATACACATTTAATGTCTGAATTACAAATTGTTTTCTTATAAAGATATGTTTATTTACACTTAGAGAATTTAGGGAGATATAAGAATCTTACTACTAATATCAGTCACAGAGATGATATCCCAACATTTCTCGACATTAATTTTGATGACAGATGACATTAGTGATAGTAAAATCAAGAATTTTGCTGACAATTATGATTTTTGAAGACAAAATTGTCTATCTGTCAATAAAATTAAAGTCTAGTCCCTAAGAAGTTTTCGTCACAGTGAAGTTTCTTCTACTGTCTTATTCGAACAGGGAGCACTTGCCGGCGCGTTGATTAGTCTGAACTTGGTCGCTTGGATCTCGTTTGGCACTCAGGCAGCGATTTCCAACGGTTCGATCTACTTCCCGGTGAAACCGGTATCGGTAGAAGGTTGCTCCGAATCGCTGAAGAACACTGCCGGAAACCTCACGACAATCATTGAGACCGCTGTCAAGTATGTTGTGAAAAGCTATGTTGTACCAACTTTCTCATGACGTAACTAAACATTGTCTTAATTTTTTTCCAGAGAGCAACCTTTTTTCTTATACAGAATGTCGTATTTGTGGTACACGTGGGTGGGTTTTTTAACTACTATTTTGATAGGTCTGCTAGTTTCCTGGTTTACAGGCCCATCTAAGTATAGTCGCGCAGACAAGAGACTATTTACACCTGTAATACACGGTTTTTTGTGCTCAAGAGATTCTCAGAAAGCGGTACGCACATTTCACATTTCTCAAACTTTGGAAAAATCTTATTATGAAAAATATGCGATCTTCATTTTGTCGATTGTTTTTTCAGAGTAAAGCTGAAGTTGCAAAAACAAATAACTTGAACAATACGATGCAGACTTCCAAGTGCTAGCAGTAGTCTTTTTTTATCACTTATAGTTAGCGTAAAAATATGTACTCGTATATCTGATTAAGAACATTTATATTATGACGTAATAATATTTCTTATTACGTAATTTATATTATGACTTAATGGTTGATCGTTACAGCGCATTATCATCAAACGATCACAATATAAGCTAAGATTGTTAGACATTTTTTTTATTATACGCGCGAACGCAAACTATAATCTAAGTCTGCGGCACACGATGCCTTCATGATAGATTGCACGCAAGCACCACAATCCGACAATTCTTTCATTTCCAAATCGCGACTGGTAGATGTTCATTCTGATGCTCTCAATACAATCTAGCACGAAAAAAGGCTTCATATGTCGCTTTTTTAATATTTATATATCACTATACAATCTAAATATAATGACACAAATCTAGGTTTAATGAAAAAATTTATCGACACAGTTTAGTGATATATATTGCATATTATCTATTACTTAAAGTTAATTAGACCGATAATAATATACAAAGTAAATAAATGGTATTAGTCCAATTATATAGTATTATTTGTAATGCTTTTGTATGCCAATATGTATACACGTCTTTCTACAATGTAGAATTTACGAAATACTGACCAATCTGACATATGTTACAGACTTTATCAAACTATTCGATATCTAAAGATGAATACACTTATAACACGTGTTAATAAAGTTTATATGAAAAGTCACATTTATACATATTTTAGATCTTATACGAAATTTTTAACGTTTACTCAAATTTTATCTTCAGAGATATTTCGCGTATCAACCCTCTACCAGTGAATAGTGTGGTGGAAAATTATTATTATTGACTCTATGAGATTTAGTTAAAAACATGTGAAAATAAATTTTTTATTAATACCATTACTCAACTTATATGAAAAAAACAAAGTGACACAGAATCCGCTGTCGGAGGGTTAATGTATGTATCGAATATCTCACTAAAACTTTTCTGTACACTGTATAAAATTCCTTATTCATATAAAATTCTTTTGATTGATATCTTATCGTCAAAATTGTGCAGACTACAGTCAAGCATTAAATCTAAAAAAAACTAAACATTGAATTACATCAGAAATATAACTAAGATATATTGATTGAAATAGAACTGACTATAGTTAAAATTTTCAATTTGGCGACCAGTGTCTGTATACTATTTATTACCATTTTATGTACTTTTGAACTCCCAAAGTGTTATGTTGTGTGACGATATACTTATTTAATAATTTTCACAGCACAATTCGTCATTATCATGCACCATTTTACAAAAAGATTTCTAAACGACTTATAAAATATTGTATTTAAAGTTGTTTTTGTGTACAATTCTATATATTCAATGAATATATAGAATTCACAGAACTCAGGAAGTAAGTGGTGACATCCCTATTGTTCGGGGATCTTGTTGACCTGGCTGAGCTGCTGGACAAGGTTGCGGCCCAGTTTCCAGATTTTTGAGTAGCATATTTAACCAATGCTTAGTTGAAGTATCTTCTTGCAAACATGTTGCAAAGGTATTGTCTCTTAACTGATCTGGTAAGCATTGACGCAATGCTAATAATGCTCTAGAATATTAACATTTACATTTAAACTCTGACATTGTTAACATGATATTACATATATACTTACTAAGTTTACTCACCTTGGATTGTCAGACAATCTCAGATAGCATCTTACAACATGCTTAAGTAATCTTGCAGAAGGATCTTTTGCCAATGATAGAACCATTTTTCCCAAAATCATAGCTACATGACTGAACCTATCATAGGTCTGACAAATATACGACAAGCCACTGTCATCCAACAATATCTTTTGTAGTATAAAAGTTGCCACTGTCTTACTTAATTCAGAACCACTTTCCATAATCCGAAGGCAAAGTGGAATAATTTCTGTAGTAAGAAGAAAAGTGATAACTTCTTGTTCATCTGTTTTTACCAGAGCACCAATAACTCCAAGACTAGTAAGTCTCAGGTACTCAAATGGTCGTGTTTTGCTGACAGTATGCAGAAATGGATATAAGAATAATGGAACATGAGCCTATAAAATAAAATAACTATGTAATACAAGATATGTGTAAATATGTAATATCTTCAATAAACATCTATTGCAGTGTGATTTTACCTGTAGAAATGCAGATCTAGTTTCTGGATGACTGGCTACGCACTGCAACAAGGCCAGAGCATTGCAAACACGATTACTTTGATAAGCAGTTAGGGTAGCAGGGTTAATTGCTGGATAGATGTTGATAATCTCTTGTAGAAGAGAAGCAATAGTGCCAAATGAGTGCCACAACATTGGTGCCAGATCAGGGACCACTTCTCTTTTTTTACTCAACTCCAGAAGTGCGTTCTCTCTTGTGTCTGGATTTGAGAGTTCGACTATCCATATGTAGACTTTTTCTCGATCAACACTGGTTTGCATAGAAGCTGGGCTTTGTTGAGAGCTCATCGTATTTTTTTATACAAATCGAATACCTGGATATATATCACAATCCGGTATAACCACTCTTTGTTCGTGTTTAACAATTATATATGTACTTTAATAAACTATATTTAAATATCGAAGTAGTATGTATATCTATATATTGTTACTTATGTAATCAATTATTCGATGAAGTCTCGCATACTAATTATACTTGATAAAAGTAGAAATGTATAGAAATATATGCTTGACATAATAAAACTGCAGTTTTCGACTGTTCGACTTTTCTAATCAAGAGACGTATTTCATTGTCAAACTACAATATATATATATATACATATAAATAAATATATATATGTACACAGCAAGATTCTCACAGACTTCTCCCTAGATTTGAAAGAAAGTAACTGCCATATTGTTGTTGGTTGGCGAATAATTGGTAGTTGCTTTAAAATATAAACTTCAACAAAACAAATAATTTATATTTATATCTAACCTTAATCCTAATCTAACCTAAAATAGCTCCAATACACAAGATGCGACAAAACATTAGTTAATTAACGACTTGTATTTTCGAAATTTTATACTTATATCTATCATATGTTTATTAATGTAATAGATATATAAACTTTTGACAAAAGCAAAACGTTGGAGTGACTACCACGAAATAACGCATTATTTCCAGCGATACCGCACTATTACAGCGTTTTTCACTAGGCCACAATCCGCACCAGAGATGCCAGATCGCGCCGGACAGCATCGAGAGTATCGAAGCGGGGTATCCCCACCGCCTCGATGCTGTCGTACGCATACAAGCGAGAACCGCACACGGGCGCTGTTTTCGCTTGTATGCGTACGAGAGCATCGAAGGCGGTGGGGATACCCCGCTTCGATACTCTCGATGCTGTCCGGCGCGATCTGGCATCTCTGATCCGCACTGAATGCGCACATTGCGCACCAAACACTCGCTCAATGGCAGCAGCACTGTAATGGCTAGTCTACAATGGGAGTAGGCAGCAGTGATGAAAGTTCTGGCAGGCTAGCACCAAGAGCACCGAGGTGGTGGGAGCCACTGGGAATACGCACACAGGC